CTGCGGCACCAAAGGCTTTGACAAAGCCTTCAGGTGATTTGATATTTAACAGGAAAGAAAAAGCCTGTGCCAGTCCACCCTGCACAACCTCGTCCTTCTTGAAGTCCACCCGAGCCACAGCTGCAGACAGAGCACCAAGCAGCGCCGCGCCATCGGGCAACCAAGGAGGCACATTTTTCGTGCTCCATCGTCGCTTGGCTTCTGCCTGCAGGCATTCCAATGCATCTGAGCTGTCCACGGGCGGGAGACGCATGTCGACGTAGAGCAACGCAGCGTCGCCAGCTTGGTCAACCATGGTCTTCACAATCTTCGTCTTGCCGAGGGACTTGCCACCGATGACGAGGTGCAAGCCTGTCGTCTTCATAGCCTGACAAGGCTCAAGTGACATCGTGAGTTGTATCTCCTGTGCCATTCAAACAAACAGACAACAAGCCCACCCAAAGCAAAAAGCTCCATCGCCGCCTCCTTCAACGACTTCATGAAATCGACACGCCCAGCAATCTTGTTGCTCTTTTGGTAAGCCCCCGCTTTGCCGCTCACATTTTCTAAGAATTTCTCAGGGCTGATGCGCTGTGCTTGGGCAACTTTTTGGATGCCCTCCGGAATGCTGAAGGTCGCTTTAAAGTGGAAGAGCCAAACGAGAACGCAAGCCAAAATCAGCGGGCGGTGGGATGCGCTCCTTCGAGCCATGATGCACGCTGAGAGCTGGACCCTGTCCAGCTTTGCGGGCTAAGACTGAGGTGCGAGTAGCACATGGCCAACGGGCGAAACTGAAGCCCGAAGCTGCGCACGCAAGCACTGTGTCAAGATTCCAACGCGGGTTGAACATGTTACGATACAAGAGAATCTGCTTCACACGTCATTGCCATCTCGTACCAACATTGTCCAGGAACTGGAGCCCAAAATACATCCTGTTTGTCGGCTTTGTGGGGAAAGTCTGATCAGGTATGAAAGGATAATGTTAGTAACGTGAAGGACTTTCCCTTTTGCCACAACGTAATTCAACGGAAAATGGCATTCGAGGGGATTGTGCTGCCACACTTGGGTGGTCCAGCGGAGTTTCAGCGTCAGTGAGGGGAGTTTAGGGATGTTTAAAGGCCGAACTACGAATGTAATGTCTAAGCTTTTCTCACCCCGTTTTTGCTAGTGCCGTCTGCAAGGGTGACCTTTTCAGGCTAGTACTCCATAAACATCCATAAACCCTAGACCCAACGTGACCCAACGGTCACGCTCCAACGGACCCCGCCGCCAAAAAGCCGGGCCCAATGGAGGCTGTCCAGCGATAAATGTTGAGAGGTGAAAAGCCTGACAGCGGCAGCGTTTATGGGGAGGGTTTAGCATGAAGGTTCAGCCCTTTAGCCATGAATAGCTATGATGCCTAACCCATCCCAGCAGGTCCTCCCCGAAACGCAGGGTGAGCCTGGCAGGTGGGGGCGTCTTGGAGTCGATGCCGCCGTAGACGCCGTGGATGCAAGCGAAATACTCTGGGACTCCACGAAGTTGTTTTCACAGCATCAGCAACTTCGTTAACATAACCCTATTGCGGTCTTTTTCACGCTGGGAACTTGAGTTGTAGCAGCAGCAAGCAAAATAGATACAGCTGATAGAAGGACATCAAAAGTAACGCAGAATGCAGGGTCAAATCTACACCCCCTCGCCGTGGTTGCGCACGGGTCAGATCCCAGACCTACACCCAAGCCGAAACCAACACTCAGATAACAAATGCAATTGATGCACTGAACCTCACCCAGTACACCCAGACGGAGGTGGACAGCAGCATCAGCGCTGCCCTGCTCCCGTACTGGGACCAGGGGGAGGTCTCCGCCGAGATCGCCTCACAGATCGCTGCTTCGGGCCACCTGACGCAAACCGAGGCGGACGCGCTGTACCTCATCACGAACGCCAACGCGAGCTTCACCAGCTTGGTTCGGGACGGCTTCCAGCAGGTCCGCGCGCTGCTGCCCCGCGCGCCTCTGACGGCCAACGTGCTGTTCAGCGGGACGACGATCGAGCTGGAGTGCGATTCGTATTCTAAATCGGAGGCAGACGGGCGCTACCTGTCCAGCAGCGACTTCACGACCCTGGACGCGAGGTACGAGATCACGAACGCCAACGCGAGCTACACCAGCTTGGTTCGGAACGGCACCCAGCAGGTCCGTGCGCTGCTGGCTCGGGCGCCCCTGACGGCCAACGTGCTGTTCAGCGGGACGACGGTCGAGCTAGAGTGCGACGCCTATAGCAAGAGCGAGAGCGACGCCAGGTACGCCCTGGCGGGGGCTTCCCCGGCCGACCCGCTGCTGGTGAACGACGTCCGGGCCAACGGCGCCAGCTACCTCACCCTGAGGGGCGGCAGCCTGGGGATCGAATTTGAAGCTGACAGCGGACTCCCCGTGGCAGACTTGTCCACGAGCCTGTTCAGCATCAAAGACGGCATCAACGTGCTGACCAAGGGTCGAGTTTTTGCGGACTCAAGCCTGGGCATCGCCACCGCAGGCTCCTTCCAGGGAGGCACCGTCGAGCCGCTGCTGCCCACTGACCAGTTCCTGAACCTGAAGGCCGGCACCGTGTCGGTGCGGATCACCGACGCCAGCGACAACAGCCTGTGCACCTTCGCCCCGGCCGAAGTGCATGCAAGCGCCACGCGGCTGCGGGTTGATGATCAGCTCTACATCGACGACGTCTCCGGGCCCGCCACGGGCCTGATCACCAACGCCATCTCCGTGCGGGCTCAAGACACACAGCTGTCAATCACCGGCGGCTCTGGAGGCACAGTGGTGAACGGCGACCTGGACGTGCAGGGCATCATCACAGGAGGCAGCGCTGAGCTATCCACGGAGCTGAGGTCTCCCATAGTGAAGGCACGGCCTGCGGACAACTACCTCACGATCACTGGCGGCACTCTGGGCACTTATCTCAACTCGATCCTCTACACAGCTTCCGCGATTCGAGCCGACAACGGCATCGTGTCCAGCCCTGCCTACCTCGAGTTCGTAGGCGGGACAACGGGCGTGCAGTGCCAGGCCAAGACCTTAGAGGTAACTGCAGCGGATCCGCTCACTGCAAACCCCGCCGATGGAGTCGTTTCAGCGCAGGTCTTTAACACAGCCCCCACTGGCTACGCTCGTGTGAGGCTGGACTCCAACGGCGGCGGAGGCAATGCAGATTTGGAGGTGGCTTCCACCGGTGGCGTGATACTCGCCCAACCAGACCATCACCCTTATGACGGTTCCCGCCAGCCCCAGCTTCGTTGTGAATGCCGATGGCACCATGCACCACCACTATAGCCTCACGGGCACGTCCGACATCAGGCTGAAGACCAACGTGGTGGCCACGCCGCAGAGCGACCTGCAAGCCATCTTCGATGCTGTGGAGGTTAAGTGCTTTGACAGGGTGGATGTGGGCACTCGCGAGATGGGTTTCGTGGCCGACGACGTGGAAGCAGCTTGCACACCAGAGCTTGCCGGGTGCTTGCTGGGTAGCTTCCACAGCTGGCACCTGGATGCCCAGGCCAAGACGCTCTGCTACCAAAGAATGATTTGCGTGCTTTGGGGCGCCGTCAAGAGCCTGCAGGCGAGGGTGGCGGCGCTGGAGGCTGCATGAGCATCCGAGCAACGACGGCTGACGCAATTTCACGACACAATGCTGGGGGGTGGAGTACAGCTGACTCAGGCTCTGCTCGTTCCAAACTCTCACACCGTTAACCTTCTTGCCAGAACCTTGCTGAGCAAATGCTGGATGGGTCCCTGAAGCCGATTGCGGACAACACAACCTCCTGGTGCAGACCGGCCTCGAAGGCGTCCAATTCAGATTGTTCCAGATCCTCGTGAGCTTGCGGTACTGATAACCATACATGCAGTAGGTCACGTCGACCCAGGGCAGGTCGGCCATGAAAGGCCTCTGCTTCAACAAGCCCGTGCCTGGATTCTCTATGGCCCAGAACTTGGGCTCTAGCTGTTGGGTCAGCTCGAGCGTTCTCAGCACGAATCTGTCGGCCACTTCCAGTCGCCTGGGCCTGCGCATGAGCGCTCGGCTGTACTCCGTGCAAACGGGGGAAGCCCAGATGAAATCAAAGTGACCGGGCGGAAACTGCGGGCTCCAAGAGCAAACATCTTGGCAAATGGTGGGGTTCCACGCTGGTAACTTCCCAGCCCAGCTCTCGGAAGGCCCTACCCACCGAGCCTGTGCCCGAAAACAAGCTCCAACATTCGGCGGGTCATGATGATCGTCGTCTATTTCCATGACCGGTTCGAGGGTCAGCCACAGCAGAGCAACGAAACTGGCGAACAGACAGGCCAGCTCCAGGTTGCAGAGCAGCAGCTGACGCCAGTCGCGCAATTGCTCGGACATTTTTTTTGTTGTGCCTCTTTAAATAAAAGGAGCCCGAGCCATCACCGGAATTGCGACCATGACTCTCCGACTTGGCAGCGTTCAGACAAACCTCAAGGGCGGCAAATATTTGCCTGCCGAGCCTCCCGTCTGCTGGTGTTCCGCTCGGACGTCAACCATTTTCTACAAAATAGGTTCCCCAACGCTAAATGGATTTCCATCGTCATTCTTTGCAACCCAAAGGTCGGTCTTCATCGCGATCTTCTCAATATGAAGGCCCGGGCAACCCAACCACGCCATCACTGTGGATTTATTCACCGGAGGTCGCGTGTGGGTTGAAGATGGGAAAATGGAAGCTCTCCAGCCAAGGTCAAAATGAAAACCAAGGTTCGTGCACTCATGGGAACGTGGCACGACATCCATGACAAGCCCATCACTTTCAACGCAAGACGGTTTATTCAAATCGAACCTCCAAAGGACATTTGTGGGCCTGGCCGCTTGCAACAACGCCAAGCAGCGACGTCCTTTGGGCCCATACGGAGTCGAAAAACTCTTGCTTCATCGTCTCCTGCTCAAGCTGCAAAAGCAGATGCAAGATGAGAGGCAGACGTGGACCGACGGTGGATCCAAAGCGTGGATGACCTGGAACATCCTGAATGACAACGTCTTCCTGAAGTCGAAACAATCACCACGACGCATTCGACTTCGTCATTTGAGAGGTTTGGAGAGATCTTCTTCGACAAATGACTTCCATCATGACAGAAACGGACGCAGAATCATCCGATGAAATGGACTCAGAATCATCCGATAAAACGATGACCGATGCAGGAAGCGAACAATCCTCCGATGAAATGACCTCGTGAGAAAAAGAGAAAGCGGAAGATCGAGTACTGTTGATCTTTGTGGCAACTGTGATCAACATGGAGGCGCGGAAAGTAGACCTAAATATGAAGCCGTAAAGCAAAGTCCCTCCAGAGCAATCATCATAAACCCCCCTTCCCCCTCAAGCAATGTTGAGACATCGCGCGCAAGCGGTTGCGTGGCATG